CACTTATGACACAGCTGGCTCATGGTAAGCGGTGTGTAAATGTGGCTGCTTGAAATATTATCATCTTTTTGGAGGACAGTTGAGCAATATGTATCTAAAGCCATTGAAATGTCATAATTTTTGACCCAGTTATCTCACTCCTGGGAACGAACCTCAAAGAATTAATTTAAGGAAAGAAAAAGATTGTAACTATGGACAAAAGTTTTGAAAACATTTTATTTACAAAACAAATAACAAGAAACAACCGAAAAAAACCCACCGAAAGGGTAATGGTAAAATATATGTTGTATAAACATGATGGAATAGTCTGCCCTAGTTAGTAAGGCAGACTACTAATAGTAGTAGTCTACTACTACTACCAGACTACTAATAGTCTGGTTAAGATGATCAACATTGATTACAGGGACTTCTCTGGTTGTCCAGTGGTTAAGAATCTTCCTCCTAATGCAGGGGATGCAGGTTCTATCCCTGGTCGGGAACTAAGATCCCACATGCCATGGGGCAACTAGGCTGGCGTGCCTTAGCTAGAGAGAAGCCTTCGTGACTCAACAAAGAGCCTGAGTACTGCAACTAAGACCCGACGCAGCTAAAAAAAACAAAAACAAACAAACAAACAAAAATTAATTACAAATACATAACGAAGTGTTTATGAAGTAATGTTTGATGAAACAAGAGATCACAGAATTGTGTATCTGTTTTGATAACTTTATAAACAATTGGCACATGTTGCTTGGCTTTCTGTGTTTGGTAATTAGAAAGGACTTCTTGAGATTTACTTTTAGGTATTTTATTTTATTTATCTTATTTTATCTTATTTTATTGGAAGCAAGTTTATTTAAAGAGACACATTCCATACGGATAACACAGTTCATCTCAGAAGGTAAGAGCGGCCTACTTTTAGGTATTTTCCCTGGTGGCGCAGTGGTTGTGAGTCTGCCTGCTGATGCAGGTGACGCGGGTTCGTGCCCTGGTCCGGGAAGATCCCACATGCCTCGGAGCAGCTGGGCCCGTGAGCCATGGCCGCTGAGCCTGTGTGTCCAGAGCCTGTGCTCCGCAACGGGAGAGGCCACAACAGTGAGAGGCCCGCGTATCGCAAAAAAAAAAAAAAAAAAAGTAGGTTGATTACTAAACAAAATTCACGTTTAAATTATGTGTTGCACATGTATGCAGAAACCTTGCCTCTCCAGTGCTCGGTACTCAGTCGTCTGCTGTGACTGCCGGAGCCCTGACCCGGGCACACCCCACCCTCCTCTCCCCGGCCAAGTCACCTATGTTCCATGCAAGGCACTGGCTCCTGCCATGCTGTCTGTGACCCTTCACAGATGAGAGTGTCTCAAGGGCACCTCAGAACCTGGCAACACAGTGTTTGGCACGTAGCTCTCACTTAAGAAATGCTTGTTGAATTATATATACGTGTGTGTGTGTTCATATGTGTGTGTATGTGTGTATAAAGCATATACGGTACTTGAATTTTTTCTCCCCTCTTGGTCAGAGTCTTCATTAGGGGGAAAAAGGGAGAGGATAGGGATTCTCCTCATTGCCAGCAATGATTCAGGGCAGCAAATACTTTGCTTCTGTTTTTGTTTTGAAATGTCCGAGGCCTCTTCCATATGCTAATCAAGTGTTCCAATGACAAAACACCTTCCATTTAACTATTGTGTGTTGCACCACCCTAAGAAAACCAGCCTTTATGGGGACACCATATTAATGCAAATCAGACAATTAGAGGACAGCACTAGACAATATGTAATCAAGCGACAAAATGTACACAAAAAGGAAAATGTTTGCTACTATGGTCATATTAAAAATTAAACAAGACTAATTTATAAAACAGAAATAGACTCACAGACATAGAGAATAAACTTATGGTTACCAAAGGGGAAAGGGGGCAGGGAGGGATAAATTAGGAGTTTGGGATTAACAGATATATACTACTATATATAAAATAGATAAACAACAAGGTCCTACTGTATAGCACAGGGAACTATATTCAATATCCTGTGATAAACCGTAATGGAAAAGAATATGAAAAATAATATATATATAGATAAATATACAGATAATATATAATAAATATAAATAAATAAAGAATATATATATATATATATAAAAAACTGAATCACCTGAAAGTGACACAACATTGTAAATCAACTATACTTCAATTAAAAATAAAAAGAGGGGCTTCCTTGGTGGTGCAGTGGTTCAGAATCCACCTGCCAATGCAGGGGACACAGGTTCGAGCCCTGGTCTGGGAAGATCCCACATGCCGCAGAGCAACTAAGCCCGCGAGCCACAACTACTGAGCCTGCACTCTAGAGCCCGCGAGCCACAACTATCGAAGCCCGCGCGCCTAGAGCCCGTGCTCCTCAACAAGAGAAGCCACCGCAGTGAGAAGCCCGCGCACCACAACGAAGAGTAGCCCCCGCTCACAGCAACTAGAGGAAGCCCGCGTGTAGCAACGAAGACCCAACGCAGCCAAACATAAATAAATAAAATAAATAAATTTATTGAAAAAGAAGAAAAAAATCACACAGGAATAACTTTTAACATTTCCCTCTCAGTAGATAATTTGCTCTTATTTCTAAGGAATTTTAAGGGCCTCTTGAAGTCTCAATCCATGTGATTATGGTGAGGTGGAAAGAACATTAACTGATAATTAGGAAATTTATGTTCTGAATTTGGCTCTTCTACATGTATGATTTTGAACAAGTCCCTTCTTCTCTCTGGGCCTGTAAAATTAGGAGGTTGAACCTGATGATCTCAAAGGTCCCTTATGGCTACTAATGTCTGGTTCATGAAGCCTGGGAGTTCTGACGCCCTAAAACTCTGCTGGAACCCAAGTGTGCTTCTGTCCCTGCCTTTGGTGCAACAGAGTCCAGGGCCTGGGAGCAGGGGTTGGTGAGCTGGATTTGCTGTGTCTTGCCCTGGTTCCCACCCCTCCTAGAAGAAGGCTGAGCATCTGCTCCATACTCTTCTCAGAGGACGCTGATGGCCCCAGCGGGCTAGAGGGTGTGATGTCCAGGGTTGATGGCTGCACCCGACTGTAGCAGAGGAACTGACAATCTGCTCTCTGTTTTCCCATTAGACCTGTGGATCCTTTGGTGAATAGGCCATGATTTGCAAATGGGGTTTGAAATAGGAGAGTTCTTATAAAATATTTTTATCCTGCAACTCCCTTCCTCCCCTCGGAAGACTCGAAGGTGCCCATCACCCCTTCACCTCAAACAGCGCCCCCCATGGTTTCTACCCACCCAGCCTGGTCCCGAGCTCTGAACTCTTCGGATCGCTGGTGTTGACTCTGGCCACTAGAGGGCACTCTTGCAACGTGTAAACCAACAGTTCTCTTCGCGTTGGTGGCGCCTGGGTCGCATCTTTGCCAGAACATCTGGACTTGCTGAAGCCTTTCTTAAGTGATTCTCAACCAGGCACGGTTTCTTCCCCTGGGGGGAACATTTCACCAGGTCTAGAAGAGGAGGCTGGGAGAGGGTGCTACTCGTATCTAGAGGCCAGGGATATACTAAACATCTTGCAATGCATAGGATAGCTCCTCACAGCTAAGAATTTTGCAGCCCAAAATGGTAATAGTGCCGAGGTTGAGAAACTCTGCTCTCCTTGAATCTGTTGTCTAAAACACAGAGCGCACCACCTGGAAATTTATGTCCTCTGAAGCTGAGCTTTCAGTCTCCTGGGTTCACCTACTCTAAAAAGAAATTTTAGAAAAGTGACCACAAAGCATTTTTCATTGCCTGAAACGTGGGGGTCATAGCAACCACGAACTTCTGAAGAGGAGGAGGGGTCAGGCAGAGGACACATGGGGGTCCTTGTTATGGGACCCTGTTCCCGAGGCTGGCCTCTCTGAACAGGACCCAAACCCTATGACAGTGTGATCCAGTTCTTTGTGCCACAGCAGACAGCACTAGCTCTTTGTCTCCCCAAACTGGACAGGATGATGGGAAAGCCCCAGGCTGGGTGTTCGTCCTTCTTGTAGGGCTGGGGATGGGCCTGGGCCTGTGACTTTGGGAGCAAGTGAGAAGCAGTTTTCACTATAGCTCCTAGGATCTCCTGGGAGCGACACTCTGAGGTCCCCTTTTTTGGCATCTGGGGTAAGGGAGGGAGACTGTGATGAAGCCCACTCACAGATCCTTTCTTCTGGCCTATACCCCGCTTGGAAGCCTGGGAGCTGGGTTCCTTGCTCATCTTAACCTTTCTGTGCGGTGAGGGCTTAGCCCTGCCTTACTCTGGGTCTCTCCTTCCCCAGTCCATCCATGAGAACATGCGCCTGCCCCAAAGGACTGAGAGGCAGTGGGTAGCAGAATGAATAGGGAGCTCTGAGAGAGGGATGCACCCCTACTCTTTGGATGAGGGCCAGGGACAAATGATGGACAAAGGGACCCTCTGTGCCTCCTTAGTTTCTGCTCTCCATCATGGGAAGAAAGTGGAGACAAATCCTAAACCTGTAATTGGCAGCCTAGAGATAAGAGAGCAATATGGTTCCATTGCCTTGGCTCCTGGAACATCCTTTTATTTTGGCCTTTCCTTGGTTGAGCAAAAGACCCCTCTCTATGTGTCCCCTCCTCCCCCAGCCACCTGATGCTTCAGTTGGCTCCCCTTGTCATTCTTAGGACCTGGGGTGCAGAGGGAGAGGGACCCCTTCCAACTCCCTCCTTCATCTCCAGCCCTTAAAACTCTGCTCAGAGGTCCATGGCAGGGATCTGGGGGTCATTCTGTGAAGGCCCGTGCTCTGCTCTTAGGTTCCTTCCTTGAGGTTGGTTTCTCACTGGCCAGGGCAGCTCCTCGGGCTACAGCTTTAGCCTTTCTCTCTGGGACATGATGGCAGCAGAAGGGAGGAGAGTGGCTGGCTTGATTCCTACTCTTCCTCCCAACCCCCTCTACCCCCTTCCCGTCAGGAATCTTGGGTGGTGTTTAACTCCATACCAGATCAGAGGGCAGCAGGAACGCAGCAGGGGGTGGTCAGCCAAGAGGGAGGTTTGCCAAGGGCATTTTATTCATGGTCTGCAGTGAAGTATTACAGAGCTGAGGAGGCCCATCCCTCCTGACTCCACTTGCTTGGGTCTTGGGGAAAAGAGGGGACAGGAGCTCCCAATGTCGCAGAAATCAGAGGGATCGGAGAGAGCTGCATGGAGGGGCAGGAGAGAGAGGGGAGACCTTAGCCTGATGAGGGACAAGGGCCCCAGCGAAGAAAGGAGTTGCCCTGAGACTCGGAGAACAAAACAACTCCTGACCCTTCCCCAACTTAGACTCTTAATTTCCCGTCTCATGTGGGCAGGTATAGGGTCTTTCAAATGATGGAAACCTATGGAAACCTCATTCCCTTTCTCCCTCAAAAAAAGTTGAGATTAAGAATGTCTCCTTAATCTGATTAGCAATTTGGTGGGAGGGGGCACTCTGCCTCAATTTTCCCCTTCCCCACATTCACTTTTTCCCTGCGATGCCCCCCACCTCCTTGGGTGCAACTCCGTTCCTTCAGATCGTTCTACAATTTAAAGCTGTTTCCAGCCAGGGGAAGGAGCAAAGCCAGAAGGGAGGTAGATAAGAGGTGAGATAGAGTTTGGGGGACACCCCCCCACTTCACATCTTCCTCTCCCATTCAGGAGGATCCAAGGGCCACACTGCTTTGAAGTTCTCCAGATTGGGGGACACAGGACTTTCCTCTACAATGTAGGGTTCCTGCCTCTCTGAGGAGAAGCCCTCTCTGGGATCCATCGTGGGATCAGGCTTTACCTCCAGCCCCTCGGGCCTCAGGCTTGGGAGCCAGAGCCTCTCCCTAGCCCCCTGCGCCAGCCCGGCCAACAGAGGAAGGCCAGGAAAATGCTGGGCCTCTGGGGTCCCTGCAGCCCCTGCGGGTCCTGGGAGCAGGGTGTCCGGCATGGAGGACCCTAGGAAGTGCTGCCCTGCGGGGACAGGGGGCAAAAAAGGCCCTGAGAGGTGGGGCCAGTCAGAGGGGACAGGGGGTGGCAGGGGAGGGATGAAGGAGGCAAAACTGGGAAGCTCGTCTTGGGGGCTCCCCAAATGGCAGCAAGGGCTGAGCCGGCAGGGGGCTGGGGCAGAGCCAAGTCCTAGAGAGGGAGAGAGAGAGAGAGAGAGAGAAAGGGTCAGTGAGTCCCCACCGCTGGAGATGTCTCCTTTCTCTGCCCACTTCCCATTTCTTTTTTTTTTTTTTTTTTTGCTGTACGCGGGCCTCTCACTGTTGTGGCCTCTCCCGTTGTGGAACACAGGCTCCGGACACGCAAGCTCAATGGCCATGGCTCACGGGCCCAGTCGCTCCGCGGCACGTGGGATCCTCCCGGATCGGGGCACGAACCTTTGTCCCCTGCATCGGCAGGCGGACTCTCAACCACTGCGCCACCAGGGAAGCCCTCCCATTTCTTTTTGCTCCTGCTTGAAACCTTCTCTCCCCACCTGTGCACCTTCCTTTTTTCTTTGCTTCACATCTTATCGTAAATGTCATCTCCTTGGGGAAGCCTCTGAGCCTTCCCAGCCTAGGTGAGAGCCCCTGGACTCCCCCCTCATCCTTCCTGGTACTCTCCTCCAGGGCCCTGTTGCTTAGAATCAGGAGTCATTTGTGTGATTGTTAATATCTGTGTTCCCAACACTGTGGTGGCAGGAACTGTGTCTGTTTTATTCTGGATCCCGGGATCCAACCCAGTCTGGCGTGTATTAAGTGCTCAATAAAAATGTGTTGGATGAATGAATGAGGATATTCTTTGCCATAACTCAATGGATCCACTCTTCACTCTCCTCGTCCCTGTAGCAAAGGACTCTAGTTCTATTCTAGCTGGGCAAAGATCTAGTTGTGTGACCCTGGGTTTGTCATTTAAATTCTCAGTCCTCAGTTCCTTCATCCATAAACCCCCTGCTCCCAGCTAAGATCAAGCAGCATCATGGGGCCTGCTGAGCTGTGAGGCCAAGCATGTGGGGTGAGCCCCAGCCTTCCCCTTCTCTGGCTGGCTCTGGCCTATAGCTCTCCTCCTCCAAGAAGCCCTCCCTCCTTCCATTCCTTCCAAATCTGCCCTGTTTCCCCAGGATCCTGCAATAGGGACTCCTAGCCTGGGATCTCTGGGGATGATTATATAGAACTTCACACCACTTTCTATAGTTCAAAACACCTAACTCCAGTTCCACATTTTTTCTTAGCAAGTATCAACCCAAGGTGATGACATCAGCAGGGCTATAGTTAGTAAAAACTGGAAAAAAAAACTTAGTTATTACTTCATTCATCCGATTTATGTGGTGGGAACAATGTTTCTGATGTTGGATCTGTGAAAGGGGAAAATAGTGAAAATGATCCTTCATGAGGAAGAGCGTGGAGGCCCCTGCCAGAGTGTACCTTCTCCTAAGTCACTGTCCTTTTCTTGAGATGTGGAGCCGGCTGTCTTCCCCCAGGAAGGTTGTGTCCCCTGGGGCTCCTGGGGGCAGTGTCCCCCCTCAGGGCCCCACAGCTGAGTAGGCGTGCGGAGAAGATGGTTCTAAGAGTCCTCCTACCCCTCCCCGCCCCTTCCCAGCACTGGTCCTGCAGCTTCTGCCCCTGGCTCAGTAGTCCTGGCCGCTCTTCTGCCCAGAAGCAGCTTCCTCTCTTAACACCAAATGCTGTGAGTGAAGGGCTGGCACACCCTTCTGGAATCCCGATCCAGAAGTGGGCATGTGGCTGCTGCTAGGCTCCCAGAGACCTGAAGCAGCTTAATGTGCCCCAGGACCCAAGCACAGGCAGGGCCTGGGCACCCGCAGAGGGCAGGCAGGTGCAAAATACCTCACGCCAAGCGGGGGCTCGCCAGGGAATGTTTTTTGATTTCCTCCTCATAGTTTCCCGAAGAGAGCAGCTCTGTGCCCAAGGCATTCCCAGAACTGGGAAGGGGTGGGTGTGGGTGGAAGAACAGAGAGGTGTTCAGGTGCTGTCTTGCTGCAGGCTGCCAGACTTGTGGCCCTACGAGTCCTAGCCGGTCTTGGGCCGCCCTACGCCCACAGCCTTGGCTGCGCTAATGAGGACCCAGAGCCAGGTGCCCTGCATTCTCTGGGAGGTGGGACCTCTGGGCTCTCAGCTGCACTTGGGTGGGGTGAGGGCCATGGGTCTTTGTTCCATGAAATTACCAGAAGTGGAGGGCTAGGTCTTGGGCCTCTGCAGAAGAGCCTTGTGTTGGTCAAGTGTCTCTGTTGATCTTTTTCACAGAAAATCTGACTTTGCCTCTTCCCAGCTTACAGTCCTGGAAGAACTGGCCTCTGCCTGCATTTTTGCCGTGTCCCCCTCCATCACCATGTGCTGTCACACTGGCTTCCTCCCGCTTCCTCTTTCCTGCCCCAGGACCTTTGCACACCTCATTCTCTCTGCTTGCCATGCTCTCCTCTCTCCCTCTGAACTAAGCTGGTACCGATTTACATTTTGGGTCTCAGCTCAAATGTCACTTTGTCAAGGAAGTCTTCCCGGCTGCACCCTGAACTTCCCTGTAGCAGTTAGCACAATTATCATTACTTATCCACTTGTTGGATTATTAACTGAATGTCCGCAAACCCCCTCTTGTCTACAAGCTCTATAAAGGCAGTCTTGCTCACATTGGCACCCCTGGCCCTAGGACAGGGCCTGGCACATTCAACAGGAGCCCATGAGCTATTTGTTGAAAGAAGAAATGAGTGAATAAGGGAAAGAATGGGTGAACTTTATCTTCCCAATCTCTCTTCAGTTGGGCCTCCTTCTCCACCCATGGCCCTTGCCTTGGTTCTGTCCCCATCGTCCTCTGCCTAGATGATCTTCAAAGCCTCCAACATCAGTTGTATGCCTCTTCCACCACAAACTCTACATCAACCCAAGTCATCTTTGCAAAATGAACAACTGGATGTGCCTCTCCCTCTGGGTCCCTCCTGTCCACAGGATCAAGTCCAAGCCCCCTCAGCATGGCTTCAGAGGCCCTCCGTGACCAGATGCCTGTCTGCCTCGCCAGCCTCGTCTCTCACCCGCCTCCTTGTTCCCACTCCCATCACGCACCTTACTCTCACCATGTAAGCTGTCAGCAGATCTTCAGATTTACTATATTCACTTGCAGCTTTTTACTTCACAAATGCTGTTCCCTCTGCCTGGGCATCTTTCTCCATCTTATTCACCTGCTCAGGTGTAGCCTCCTCCAGGAAGCCCCAACTCACCTGCATTCCCATAGCACCTCGTGCTTCCCAGAATCTCAGCACTGGTCACTGACCATCCTCCCATCTCTGTTCCCTACTGATCTCCGAGCATCTTGAGAGCCATCTTTCATCTCTGGGTCCCCACACTTAGTAAATAGCTGGTGAGCAATAAATGTTTGTTGAATGAATACATGACTTATCCTTTGACTCATGCCCCCTCACCCATGTGCTCAATCAAAAGGGTCCTCCCGGGGGCTTCCCTGGTGGCACAGTGGTTGAGAGTCCGCCTGCCGATGCACGGGACACGGGTTCGTGCCCCGGCCCCGTGACACCACAGAGCGGCTGGGCCCGTGAGCCATGGCCACTGAGCCTGTGCGTCCGGAGCCTGTGCTCTGCAGTGGGAGAGGCCACGACAGTGAAAGGCCCGTGTAACGCAAAAAAAAAAAAAGGGTCCTTCCCTCCTCTGCTTAAGATTCCCTGGGCCCACCTCAGTCCTGACCACTCACGGTGGACAGTGCTGCTGCTTCCCTTCTTGTCCCTGGAGGCCCCTGGTGGTCCTTGAGGGGCCCGCTGTCCAGCCAGCTGCTCTGCCATGGCCCAGTGGGTGGACAGCCTGCTATGCAGGAGCTGGGGAGTGAGGAGAGCAGGCTCAGGGGTTGAATGGACCCTCCCTGGCGTGTATTCCCCAGTATACATTGTTTGTTTTAATGACCAGTCATTAAAATAATGAAATACTCTCATAATGGTTGCTAAGTCAGCACTGCCCGCATGTCCTGGACCCGCCCCTGAGACCCCGCCACCCCCTTCCCTGTGATCCTGGCACAGAAGGAGTTGTTCTCTCTCATAGGCAGGTGCTCTACTATAGGGATCGTTAAATATGTAGGGGTGATTCAGAGTATCACCCCCACCCCTGGAACACTCAGGGACTAAGGATGCAGGGGGAGAAGAACGTTGAAAGCTGATGGGCCCCTGAGGCAGAGAGGCAGGTTCCGGTGGAGCTCTGGGGACGGGACCAGCTTTCATGCCTACCTCACTCTGTACACCCATGGGCACCAGGGCTGGTCGAAACAGAGCAGGGGCTCCCAGCAGCAAGTGGAGGGATGGCGGTGCCCGCAACTCCCACAGAGGGTAGTTGACTACGATGAGCTTGCTGAAGTTGAACTTGTAAGTGAACCTTTTGCCTTTGGTCTTGTGCAGGATCCTCTTATTGTAGTAATATCTGGAGATTCCAAGGTTGAGAATAAAGGGTTGGCCCAGTGGCAGGGAGGATGCAGTCAGAGACGCAGCCACATCCCCCGTCCCCAGGCTGCCAAGGCAAACCCCAAGCTGTTCCTGGATAACCACTGGACATCTCACCATACTCCAGAGCATTTCCCAAGCCTTGGAGGGGCGGGGATCTGATAGGGGTGCCAGAAATCACGGCTCTTTTCTTTGAACTCTGCCCTGTCTGGCCACGTCGGCTGCCTCCTCTCACCTGAGGGCCCGGCTCAGCTTGTCATAATTCATCTGTGGTTTGCACTTCCTGCGGCCCCAGAGGCGGGCCACCTCGTCTGGATCCTTGATGACAAACTCCCCGTACTCTCCCTGCTGCCAGGCGATGACATGGCGGAACTCCTCCTTCTGCAGCAGCTCCAGGATGAAGTGCCATAGCTGGATCTGCCGGGAGCCCGGGGACGACTCGGCTTTGCAGGCCCAGTCGGGGAAGACCAGGCCTGGGGTGGAGAGGGGAGTGAGCGCCGTCCCACTGCTCCTGAGGCCTCTGGGGCACTGCTGGAGCGCAGCTGGGACACCTGGCGGAGGCTCACCTGAGATCCAGAAGTTACGGGAGGTGATGGCAGGGATGCCCTCATCCAGGCAGCTGCAGTGCATTGTCCATTCGGGGGGGGCAAGAGCTGTGTCTGGGTCTTGGGGGGAAATGGTCCCCTCTTAGGAGGAAGCGAAAGAAGGCAGGGGAGAAGGAGGTGAAAGAGGAAGGAAAGAGAGAAGAGGGAAGAGACTAGGGGAGGAAAGGGAGACTGAGGCAGGGGAGCAGGGTCTGAGGCAGGAAGCTCCCCCCTAGCCAGGCTGGGCCCAGCCTCCTCTGGGGACCTCCTCACTGGCCAGGGGCTGACCCAGGACTTGGGGCTTGAGGCTGAGCTGCTTTATAGATGGGGAGGAAGGCAGAGGGTCCTAGGTCCTGCCGCCACTGGGGGATTTAGACAATGACACCTTTTCTCAGGGCTTAACAGGATTGGGGTTTTTCCCAGGAGGAGACAAGTGAAAATGTAATTAATCGTTGGCTCTTTCTAAACCTTGAGTGTGAGGAGTTGGCAGATATACAAACCCGCACTTTTATAGTACTTAGAACAATTTTACATTTGAGAAGAGGAGGGATTTTTGTGCGTTTTATTCACTGAGGAGTCTCGAGTGCCTAGCAGAGCGCCTGGCATGTCATGGATGTTCAAGAAATGATTGTTGGTAGAATCAATGAATGGTGATGAATTTATCAAGGGTGTCACTATGTGTTTAATATCTGTCTTCCCCTTCAGAGTGTCAGCTCCCTGTGGTCAGGAACCCTGGCTGTCTTCTTCCCTGCTGGCTCCCCAGAACCCATCCTAGCCCAGGGCCTTGTACTCACAGGGGCTCTATAAATATTTGTTGAATTAATGAACCATGGGCAAGGAAGATGGAATCTTGCTGGTTCCCAATTTGGCTTGGGGGTGGGATGGGGGTGGGCCTTGAGATGGGGGGAAGACTGGGGAACGAGCCCTAGTAAGATAAACTTGCCTGATGCAGGTGAGGGGAGGAGAGGAAATGTCTAAGTCACAAAGCCTTCTGGATGGAACTAGGATGGTGCGAAAAGCTGGCTTCTACTGTCACTAGTGCAAGATGAACTGATAGGCCAGAGGATGAGGAGGGATGGGAGAATGAGAGGCCTGCTCCTGGGGCTGGGCCCAGGCGCAGCGGACTACTTGCGCACAGGGGACTGGCTCACACCACCTGGGCTCTGGGTTTCCATCTCTGATGCAGTTGGCATGAGGCGAGCGCTGTTCTCAACCAGAACTTATTAGGCCGTCAGGTCTGGCGGCATGTGGGGGCTTATCTGGAGTAGCCTCCACACTTTCCAGATGAGGCTCAGAGAGGGAAAGTGACTTGACAATGGTGTATGGTCGTCCCACCCTCCACTCCTAATGCACGGCACTTTTTCATACAGCGTGCTGCCTTAAGACTTGAAACGAATCATCTGTAGCCGTGCTTCTCCAACTCGAATGTGCATAGGAGTCACCTGACGATCTCTTTGAAATGCAGATTCTAATTCAGTGGGACTTGGTGGAACCTAAGATTCTGCGTTTCTAACAAGCTCCTAGGTGATGTCAGCTCTGCTGGTACACGGGCTGTACTTTGAGTAGCAAGAATCCATGGGAAACAGCATTAAGGAGCTGTGGGTGTTGGAAAGTCAAGGAATCCCGAGGAATCCCAAGAACAAGGTCCTACTGTATAGCACAGGGAACTATATTCAATATCCTGTAATACACCATAATGGAAAAGAATCGGAAAAAGAATGCATATATATGTATAACTGAGTCACTTTGCTGTACAGCGGCAATTAACACAACATTGTAAATCAACTATACTTCAATTAAAAAAAAAAAAAGTCAAGGAATTCCAACCCTGCCCTCCTTCCCCCCACACTAAGAGGACACTGGATCTCTTGCTCTCCTTTTCCCAAGGAACACTCAGCTCCAGGTGGGCCAGTGGACAAACCTACAGCCCGCTGGGGGCAGGTGTGTCCAGGGGTACCCAATCTGGCCCCAGCAGAGAGCATCTCTGGAAATTAAGGCAGACAGGGCTATGAGTAGGTCTGTGCCCACTCTGAATCTGGGTGAATAGGTTTTCCCACCCATCCATCTGTCTCTAAACTGATAGCTGATATTCTGGAATCTTCTCTCCTTCTTTTCCTCCCCTGAAGCAGATGTCCCTACTCCTCTCCCACCTTCCTTTCCTGCTTTGTCCATTGGGAAGTTCCTCCTTTGTCTAACCTCCAGATGATTGGGATGTCTCCTACCTCATCTTAGGAAGATGGGTGGGGAAATAGGGGGAGCAAAGGTGAGAGATTCCAAAGGAGGACTGTTCCTTGGAGGAAGCAGATAGAATTCCTAGGGCTGCGGTGCCTCCTGCTGGATCTGATGATGTTTCCTGGTCTGCAGGGTTTGAGACCTCAGGGCAGATTTAGAATCTGGCAAGAAGAGAACAATAAACCCACCGCAGAGCAGACACTCAGGGCACTCTGCACTGTGCTGAGAAATTGACACACCCTGAACCTCACAGGAAGTATCAGATGAGGTGGAGCTCAGAGGGGCTGACTAACTTCTCTAAGGTCACACAGCTCTTAAGTGAAAGAGTGGAAAGCAAGAACTTAATACAAAATATAAAATTTATAATATTCAGCCACCTAGGTAGGCTACCAAACCCTCTCTCCTGCTCCCTCAAAGAACAAAATCTAAAATATGAAGCCAAATACGACGCGCAGGCTCAGCGGCCATGGCTCACGGGCCCAGCCGCTCCGCGGCCTGTGGGATCTTCCCGGACCGGGGCACGAACCCGTGTCCTGTGCATCGGCAGGCGGACTCTCAACCACTGCGCCACCAGGGAAGCCCCTGATTATTATTAATAGGATTAATCCCCTTGGCCCGCACAAGCGCTCATTACAACACACGTAAGTTTTAGGTAATTATTTAAGAAAAGCAATAGCGATAACGATGATAAAAAAGAGAGCCTTAACCTAGATGTTGGAGCCAAAAGAAATGTCCCAAGCAGATTTTAGGTTTTAAGAGTTTAGTTAATATGAGCTGGGCCCCTATCATGAACCCAGCATTGGGCTTGACTTTTCTTTTCTTATGTTACTTCATTGAATCTTCACAACCCTTCGTGGTGGGTATTATTATCTCTGTTTTGCAAGCTGAGGAAATTGAGGTTCAAAAGATTAGAAGACTTACATAAGATCCCAAGGCAAGTGGTGGAGCCGGATGCAGACAGGTCTGACTCCAGGCTCTGAGCTGTAATTAGTCAATCAGGGCAGAAAAGTTGAGGATGAAACTTGGGAGCAGAGGCAAGGCTTAGGAGGCCCTGGGTCCTGAAGGAGGTGCTCCAGTCTAAACCTGAGAGGTGGGCTTTTGGCCAGAAAAGTGATCAACAGTGGGGGTCGGGGGGAAGCCAGAGGACCGTCAGATGGGCAGAGTGGAATACAGAGAGGTGAGGAGGACAGGAACACGCCCAGGATAAACAAAGGTCAGAGCTCAAGACAAGGCTGCCTCTCTGCAAAGTAGAAACTTGCATCATAAGTCACTTTGTCGTTGGCCCTTCTAAACTGCTAAAGTGGATTGTCCCCATAATCTGATTGACTGGACACAACGAAGTCTTCTCAGTGACTGCTTGATTGATGAGTGGGAAAACGGACTGTTTATAAATTCAAAGGCGGCCAAAAAGAGGGCAAGAGGGTCGGCGAGGAAGAGAGTGAATCAGAGAGAATGAGACAGAGAAATAGCATCGTGGAAATCGGGGATGCTGTGGACACAGGTGAGGTTCAGATACAGCCCTGGGAGACTGAAAGATCAGAGTGGAGAAACCAGCCCTGAGGGGCAATGAGGGAAACACAGAGATGGCAGTGTGGGGGGATGTGTGTGTAATATTTTCTGCTTCTTAGCGTCGAGCAAACTGCTCATCCCCGCCCCGCCTCCAACCAAATCCCCAGTCTGATTAGAAGCCTCTGGTCTCTCCCCTTGATCTCAACCCCAAGTGGAGAGCAGTTAGTCCTGAGACCTCCCTTAATGCTACTAGCGAAAGAGGCTTAGGATGGAGAGCAGGACCAGCTGGGGGCCTCAGAAGGGCAAAGCCAACACCTTTTCCCTGGGGAATTTGGGGGAGGGGCAGGGATCGATGTCCTTCTTCACCAAGGGCATCTTGTCCCTTCTTCTGCCAAACCCAGACAGCCTAGGGCAGAGAGGAGCTCTTCTGGACGCTCCCTGGCTGGGAATCTGGCCAGCTAAACCCCATCTCCCTCCCGCAGCCTCAGCTCTTGCTGCCATCAGCCCATACCTGGGAGAGGCGCCTCCCTCTCTGCCACTGCCCCAGCAGGGTCCACCCTACTTCCCCTGAATCCCTCCTTCCTCCTCCTCAGCCCTGAGCCCCCTCTCCAGGCTCCCTCTCAACCTGCTCCCATTGCCAGTGCCCCCTCATCGGGTCTCAGATCTTTATCGCCTCTTCACCCCACCCCCACCCCTCCAGCCCCTTGCAGACTTGTCTCTGGCTCTTGTCTCTGTGGTCCCTGGGGGCCGTGGGATTTTAAAAGGTTTGTGTTACTCCATGGAGTCGAAATCCAAACCCAGACAGCCCAATGCTCCACCCCCAGACCTGCCAGGAAGGGCAGTTAAAAGTCATGGGGAAAGTCACAGACCCCCCCGCAAGGACCCAGGGGTTGGGGAACAGGAATTGGGGTGTCAGGAGACCAGCTTCCAGCCTCACACCCACTGCTCCCTTGGTCTGGCCCCTCCAAGTCTCTGTTTCACTTTGTTTGACCTTTAATCTTCAACTGTTTCCTCCTTTCTTACAGTTTCTCTCCTCTCCCCTCTCAAGTCTCATTCTTCCTTGTTTCCACTTCCTGTCTACCAGGCTTCTCTTGTCTTACTTCCCTAGCTCCTTTCACTTTCTTTTTTCTCTGTTGTCCATCCTTTTCTGTCTCAGTTTCCGTTGGTCTCTCCATTCCTGTCTTTACGTCTTATGTCTACAGATCATACTGTCTCCTGTCTACAAATCAAGTGACCTGTCTGTCTTGCCTGCCCCTGTGCCCGTTTTCCTCCTTAGAGGGTGTCCCTGCCTCACCACCTCTCACCCAGCCTGCCCTCTGTTGTGCTGTCTCTGTCACTCTCTCTCGGTCACTTTCTGTCTTACCTCTTTCTGTCTTTCTCCTGCCCTCCTGTCTCTCACCTATGCTTCAGAGATGGAAACTAAAACCCAGGCCTCCAGCTTCCCGACCCAGGCTCCTCCAGTGCCCCTGTCCTCCCCACAGCCCTCCAGCGGCCCCTTGCCCTCTCTCCCAGCACAAATTCAGTGTCAGTTCCTTTCATCTCATTCCCATCAGCTGGGCCCCAGGGGATCCCCTTGACTGGACACCCCCTGATCCTTCCCTTCATCTCCCTACCCAGGGGACAAGAAATCCCCTCCAGTAGGTGGCTGAGGAGTCTGGCCAGCTTCAAGGAAGTGAAAGCTCTCAGCCAAGTGCTGAGCTGGGATGAGCCGGCAGGCCTGTCTGGGGCTGAGTAACGGGGGTGGGGGGGGGGCGGACGGACGAGGAATGCAGCAGGCAGCGGGCCCCCCAGGGTGCTTTCACCAGCTGGGGGCCTCTGACGCTGTCTCACTCAGTCGCCAGCCCTCAATGCCATGTCCGCTTCCAGCTTCCGCCTCAACCCTGGCCCTCGTACCGAATCTTACCATGAAGCCTGAATTCACCTTCCACTAAGGGCCAAACCGGACTCGAGACTCCATCCATGT